AATTATCTTGACACTCAGTAATTCGCCTATTAGTATTAGGACCATGGACAAATAGCCGTCTACTTCCTTGTTTTGTCTCAAATAATGATTTCCCTTCCTTAAATTTCTTAGTATTTTGAAATTGTTAACAATTAATACTTACAGAAAATTGTTCCTAAATAAGATTTTTTTAAGCCTCTCTAACTCCTGTTCCTGATACTCTATGTCCGCAAGACGTAAACTCCTTATTATCATTGATTTCATTATTCCAACTTTAACATCATAAGTGTTGTTCGAGAATAAATTACGAAGGAAACCAGCATTTGTGGGTTTCCTATGTACAATTATACCCTGTTTGTTCCCTTCCTTAATAACTAGTTCATATAGAAAAGGTACCTTACTTTCCTTTTCTAACACCATAGTGATTCTGGCGGCTTTATCTAATCTATTTATTAACCCAAGGAAGGCTTCCAAACACCCTTTGCTATGCTCCCGGGTAGCAAAAGAAGCATTCATAAAAATCACTGATAGGTATTTAAAAAAACTGGGTTTCGAAGAATCCCGAAATATATTCATTTCGGAGTACCTTAAATTTCGTTTAAAGAGACGAGTGGAAAAGTTTCGTAGGTTAGCCTCACTGGAATATGTAAGGATCTGTGATTGTAAATTTGTCCTAATAGGTTCTCGGCGCACCGCCCTACGACCCCGATGAATCATTGTTAAGCTTTCGTCAGTCATGTAACGGACATCGTCAGAACAGGACACCATGTTTCGCGATAGTTCACCCAAACGCGAAGACAAGAAAAATGACCGGCTTCAAAACTACTTACTTTGGGGGGGGGGAACTTTCAGTTGGTATGAAAGTGCATGAAGAAGAGATTCGTAGGAAAGATATGACTAGGACTGCGTAATCTGGCACGTTTGGTTTGGTTGATGAGCTTAATCTAACATTCCACTACCAGTAAATCAGTGTAATGAGATGTATTCACTCTTTTTCGTGTAAGGTGATGAAGGACTGGTAGTAGAATTTTCCCAC